TTGGGATAACAGTTGTATGAGCCCCTAATAAAATGTTTAAAAAAAAAAAAAAGAATGCATCCCTAGCCAAGTTATTTGAAGTCAAAGTGACCAAGGAACGAAGGGTTTTGTTCTGTATCTATAGATGTGTGTGTGTGTGTGTGTGTGTGTGTGTGAGAGAGAGAGAGAGAGAGAGAGAGAAAATCTTTCCCCATCGTCTCTAAAAAAAGTAATTCTATTCATTATATTTCTGCAGTGTAGCCTCCAGCCCAAGGCATGGCTGGTGTCTTTGCAGACCCTGGCTGGCACTGAGACATTGGCTTAGGAGACAGTGCTGAGAATTTAAGGAAGCCAGGAGATGTTCAGAAACAATGTTACTTATGTCACTCATGCAGTGCTTATTCTAAACTCCTGTTGGATCTGAGCTCATCCCCTACCCAACCTCCCCTTGGTGGGCCTCGCTGGTGAGCACAGTACACTAAGTTAATGAGAGGTTCTAAGGCTCTGCTTATCGGGTCCAGACACTTTACCTTGGCATTTCTAGTCAGCAGTGGGTGTTCCAGGACTTGTATTTTGTTGCTCCGTAGAAGGTCAGGCCCTGGAGACCTTCAGGGCTCTGGCTACTAAAGCAAATGTATCCGGTCAGCCTGCCCACGTTGGGGGAAGGGGCCAGACTTTCTGGCGTGGACTCCAAGGCTGGCATGGGCTTGGTGGGAGGCTGGCCCGAGCCTCAGCTGGTGCCACTAGCAGTCCTGTTTGTTCTACAGCCTCTGGCAAAGTCTGAACAGACTGGATCCCCAACCTCCAAAACACAGATGCTTCCTCTGGACCCACCTGCCCAGGCAGGTCTCCACCTCAGAGCAGCACAAAAGGAGGACCTGTCCCTGCCAGTCCCTTCTTTCTCCCTGTTGTCCTATTCCCTCCCCTTTCTCCAAACCCATGTTCTCCCTCTAGAATAAACATCATCTGTACATGATGTCCAAGTGGAGAACAATGGGCATATAACAAACGGGCTGATGATGACAGATCTTTAAGTACTTTCAGAGTTTTACTTTCTTTCAGTTCCATGGTTTCCGGTAGCACTACACTTCGCATTCCAATGTTCCCATTGGAAGGGGGTTGGGACCACTGAGCAGCCAGCAGGTGGAATGGATGTAGAATGTGTCCAACCTTATAAACAGCACGTAGGGAGGCCCGGCAGCTACGACAGGACCCTGGAATCCCATTTCATGCCCTCTTTGTTTTGAAGCCCTCCAGAGCATTCCACCAGCTGTTGTAAGGTGCACCTGGGCTGTCACTACCATTGGTATTCTAGAGGAAATCACTTGGACATGCTTTCCTGTAGAGTCTCTGCGTCAAGAGACTCGGCAAGACCCAGCCAGGAGGGCTCATGTGCACAAATCCAAATGGAGCCGCTTTTCCAGGTCCCGAGAGAAAGTTTAGTTGCATTTTGGAGATTTCAGTTCAGGATATTAAAAAGCGTGGCCAAAGTAAGATTTAAGATCCCCAGGCAGTAAGCATATTGGGTGCCTCTTGCCAGGCTTAGGTGGGGGATCTTCAGGTAAAATGTCCTAGAGTCAAACCAGACAGGAAAGAGAGATGTGTTTAAGCTATAAGATTCTTCTAGATACACAAGACATGCAAGGATCTGGCTGAGCAGGCAACACAGTCTCGGAAACGTGGGCTGAGGAGAGAGCATGCCTGGCAGTTCTTAATATTTGCTCATTTGTTTTTGTTGGTAGAAAAAGGAAAGGGATATGTATGGAGCCTGTGAGACAAGCCTACTAGGAGAGACCAAAGGCAATAAAAGTCAAGGATTGCCCTGTTTGGGGCAAGATTTAATCACATCTGGGTGTTTGGGGGCTCCTGTGCTCTTAACTCCTATCTCAGCTCATCATTCATAATGCATGCATCCTGTGGCACTCCCTTTGACTGATAGGAACTGCCCTAATTTTAGGGTTGTGATCATCAGAGAGCCATGGCTCAAGCATAGGGTTTATTGGAAGCTGTAGTGAACAGAGGTAAATGCAAGTATGGGCAGGAAATCTAGCTGGGTCACAAGGCAAAGTCAGCTAGCTTGCAGAGTCTCATGCTGGTTTATCCACCCAGTGGTCATTTCAACTCACCTGGCCCTGCATCTGGTGGTGCTGTGGGTTAGGTGATGGACTGCTAACAGAGAGGCTGGTGGTTCACACCCACCAACTGCTCTGCAGGAAAAAGGGGAGACTGTAAAGTACATAGAAACCCTACATAGGGTGCTATGCGTGGGAATCAACTTGATGGCAGCGAGTTTGGCTTATTTCGGGTTAGAATTGCCCTAGAACCTAATGTTGCAGTTAGAGGTACACCTTGCAAATTGGAGCCTCGTCCTAAAGTGCATGATGGCCAGACACAACCTGAACTTTCCCTGGATGTTGGCACTGCCTTAGAAAGGAATTTGCCACAGTCTACCTTAAGACAGACTCCAGGGCTAATGCACTCTTCCCGTCTCCAACTCCTTAGATGTCTTGGTTTTCTATCTCCTTACTCCTAATTGGTTTTGAGTTCCCAGGCTGAAGCAGAGCCTGAGGTTAAAGTTTTCTCCTCTTTTCTTTCAGGAGAGCTGTACCTAGGGTGGAGTCCCTATGTGGTGCAAACAGTTACCTACAGCGGAAGTTCTACCCTGTCCTGTGTACGGTTACTGTGAGTCAGAATCCACTTCATGGCGTTGAGAGAGAGAGAATACCAGGATGGGAGCCAGATGACAGTAGTTAATGCACTGGAGAATAAAGTTCAGGGAACAAAAAGTAGAGTGATACGACCAGTTACAAATAGTTGCACAGGTCTAGGAAATGGCTATGAGGAGCACATATTACAGAAAAGGTCTGGGTTTGAGGAGAAGGCCAACATCACTAGGCGTATATGGTGGAGACTGGAGCAGCTCTTCTCAGGACTGCACACAAATGAAGCCATGAAGCAATCTTTCCTTTATAACTATCATTTATCAGATCTTTCCAGAATATACTCCAGCCCCAACATCTTCAGGGGAATAGGCCTATGGGTAGCCTTGGAGACTGGCCCATGGATAATTCAAGGGATTTGAGAATCAAATTTGTAGAGAACAACTTAGAATTAATAACTGTCCTTTAGTACATTAAAACAAACACAAACCAAACCAAACCAAAACAAAAACCAGTTCTGGCATGGAATACTGGTGCCAGGTCTCTTTAATCGTCATTAGGGATAGAATGGAGTTCTTGCAGCATTTGGTTTGCCACAGGAAAACTTGCCTAACAGCAAGAGTTGTTAAATGGTGGGATGAATCATTGAGAGTAGATTCTGGATTTCTGATGAAATTTTCGGAGTAAGCCATTTTCATTTTGTTAGGATGAATTTGGTCCACTCCCATGGTTCTATGTAATGGCTGAGTAGTGGAATTGATGACTGTTCTGAATTCCAGTTCCAATCTAAAGCGTCCTGTCCCCAACTGCAGGCTTCTTTCCACACTCCCGAGGTGCTCCATGTTCTCAAGAGCTGGGCCAGCCCACCAGGCCGGGCCCAGCCCTCTCTCTTCCAACCATGAGCTAACCAGGACTAGGCAGACACACAGATCTAACTGGGTTTTGTTTCTCTGTTTTCTCTTTGCATTTTTCAGTATGAGTTTAAAGCCAAGAATATCAAGAAGAAGAAAGTGAGCATTATGGTTTCAGTGGATGGAGTGAAAGTCATTCTGAAGAAGAAGAAAAAGGTGAGTGGCTGTGAGCCAGAAACTGTGATGAAGAGGGAGGTACGGGAAGGAGGTGTGGGCTACCTGTTCTTTGTAAGTCACTCTCCAGACAGAATCCTTCCATTAACTCACAGGTTATCCTCTTTGACAGAGAGTGAGGCAAGGGCTGCTATCTGCCCCACGAGGGACAGACGTCATCTCTCATCACCCTCACATGCAGATGCTCTTTCTTTTTTTGATACCTTTATCTTTGAAGCTTCTCTTGGGAAATACTCCCAACTGAAGTAATAGTTAAGTACCAGAGATCTGTGGAGGGAATGGCCAAAAGGAGGTACCCTTATGAGTTATCCCCATCTGTCCCAAGAACAAAGAGGCCCAACCAAGGCAACATCTAGCCGCTGCATGCATCCTATTCCAATTGCTGTTGCATGAGCCTAAGTAGTACCCTGACATCTAGCCACTGGTGCTATTATTCAGTGTGTAAAAAGTGGGGAGGTGGCAAGGGTAGGAGGAAGGGGATACTGATCTGCACAGTGTTTCAGGCATTCCTCTGAGTTGGGGTAAGACAAACAAGTGAGCATTATGTTGTTGAAACGTGTGACTGTTTTGTGTTAGTTTTGTGTGTGTGTGTGTGTGTGTGTTATGAGAGAATGATATTAACACCTCGAAAAGTGTGCATTTGCATAATGGATGGGGTTCTGAAAAGAGATGGAAAAGAACTTGGTTGATTAAAGATATGTGGGGAGAGCCCCTGTTTCTATGTCTTGAGTCTGCTTTCAGTTTTCATTTTTTATGATGCTTTTGTTTTATATTTATTGTAGCTTAGCTTGCCTGTGGTGCAAAATCTACATTGATCTTAATTCAAATGGGACTCAAGGCAAAACTCAGGGGGAATGTGTGGAGGTTGTAGAAGGCCAAGGTTCATACTTAGTAGCGGGCAACATAAACTGGGAGAATCATGAGGTGAGAGTGACCTTACAGGGTGGGCATCTTGTCAATCCAAGACCTTAAATCTCCTTTACAACCACCTTGGAAAAGATATTGTTCAATATATGATAGGACATCTCTAGTGGTGGGAAATTTACTACTTCCTGCAGAAGCACATTTTATCCCTGGACAGCTATAAAAGGCTCCCATACATTAACCCAAAATGTATTCCCTTATGTGCCCTAAAAATCTTTAGGTTCCAGAATATATTCTATGATTGTGAGGTTAGAAATGTGCAGGGGAGAAACAGAATATACCATTGATGAAGAACCAACGCCTTCACGATTTAGAAAAGTACGGAATTTGTAACAGTGTGTTAAGTGTCTTTGACTTTACAAACCTCTGCTTGGGGCTCACATGTCCTTACTATGGGGTTATCTCTTCTGTCCCTTTACCCCTACCCTTAAAGAACTCTGGGGGCATCATGGGTTACTCACTGAGCTGTTCATCACAGGGTCTGCAGTTTGGACCCCCCATCACTCCCAAGGACAAATAGGAGGCTTTTTGCTCCTGTTCAGGTTTACAGCCTGAGAAACCCACAGGGCATGCCTGCTCTGCTCTGTGGGCTTACTAGGTGTCAGAAATGACTCCGTGGCAATGAGTTTAGTGGGCTTCAAAATTTACTGGAAAAATTTAATCATCTTTTAATTCAATTTTTCCACTTTCTGAAACTCCCTCATATACGCCACATAGTGATTAACCATGACATAACGCTAGAATATTGCTCTGTCAGGAGTGTCTGAGTAGGATATTGGCTGAAGCAATTTCAGGCCTATTGGGTAGGTGAGACCCTAGGGTTTAATGACAGCATGACTTTAAGAACAAAAAGTATCCTCAGAGAAATACTGAGCCAATGCAACCCAAGCTCATGAATGGAGGAGCCAGGCTGAATCCCTCCTTTGCTTTCGCTACATGTCTAATAGCTTGGCTCAGCCTTTCCTACGGCCGAAGAGAGGGGGCTCAGTGCTCCCACTTCAACTGCTAAGACAATAACTGTTGTTTATGGGTGCTTTAACAAACCCATTATCATTCTTTCCTTTATCGGTACTATGAAGAAAGGCTTACTGGATGTTTCTTTTCGTGTTCTTGAACATCCAGTCACCCTGGGAAATGAGACACAGAGGCAAAGTGGCATTTCCCTCCCAGAATTTAATCCTGGTGAGGGGCTGAGCTGCTGGCCTTCAGGGTCAGAAACCCAGGCTGAGCAGTATGTGTAAGTTGTGAATCTTAGCATGATCACCCACACTGGCAAGGCTCACAAATGGCTTTGTTGAAGAAACTAAACCTCCAGTTTCTTAAGTATCTTGAGAAACAGGACCATATCACAGACCAGATATTTTTTATTACACACAAGCACATGTCCTTCCTATGAGAGGCAAGTGATAGAAGCAGGCACATTATTAAAGGGCCGCTTGGTGAGCATAGCAATGGAGCCCGGCAACTAAGTATATGACAGGAATGCTTGGGGACCCTGGGCTTCGCAGGAGATGGGACTGTAGGATGCTCATAGTGGCCTTGCCTGGTACATGTTCTTCCTGGCATGTGTTAGACCTTGCTAGCATTTAGCTTCTATGCCTTTCTTATTTTTATGAGGAAGGGTCAAAAAGTTCATGGAAAAACTTCATTATCTTTTAATCCTACTTTTCCGTGAATTTTTTTGAAGCCTCCCAGTATGCTTCCATGGCTGACCACTCAGACACCTCTGAACCACCTCAACCCACTTACACTTCTAATGGACATATTCTTTGTTTACTGTCAATCAGATAGCATTTCAAAACCTACTGTCCCTAGGGACTGTTCTGTCCACTTGAGAATAACTTTGTATAAGCCCTGAACTTGTCCATCATGGGTGGCCTCACCCTTTTGCCTCTAGAGGACCATCTTATTCCCCAGGTCAGTATCTCCCCCACGCAGCATGTACCTTCTGCAGTGTTGGCCTCACTCTGCTCGTAAGAAAACTGCAGCTAGAGGGCTGAGGCATTTTGCCTGAGATCACTTCACACCTAGGGATGACTCTGAGATAGTCATTGGGAGAGAAGCCAGCCTTCAAGTGATTGAAAGCTAAGTTGCAGAGGCGTCTCCCAGAGGGAGCCTGTGGGACGTTATGCCTCACTTTGAAACTCCATCCTTGGTAATCTCTGCTGTACGTTCACTTTCCAGCTGGTCCAGAGGAGAAGTGATCTAACAGGTCTTTCCTAGATCTGATTCTTCTGGTGCCAGGCTTGGGAAAGGAGAGCCTCCCGTCGTGTTGCCTCCACCCACACCTGGTGTCTGTTTCAGGGCCGGGGCTGTGATTGGGATAATGCCTTTCATCATGGTGTTCATTTTACATCGTCTCCGAAAGATGAATGCACATGAACAACAATTAGCCTTTTTGTCATCCTGTTCCCATGTGACAGCCCTCTGTGCTCTGAGCACACACACTGACTGTCTCTCCCTTCTCTCCTTCTTTGCTCATTGGATTGAGAGGGGGGTGAGACTAGCTGGGCCATTGTAAAAATGCACACGTTTCATTAAGGAGATGGTGCACTGGGCAGTGATGGCCATCATGACAAGGCTAAGAACTGGGGCCTCCGCTAGGTAGCCTTAGGCTTCTGACTGTTAGTCGGTAAATACAGGGGGCTTTCACAAATGAAAAAATTCCATTATCTTTAAATTCCATTTGCCCATGAAGCTTTTGAAGCCCTCTTATGTGTTGAACATTCCCTATCCAGCAAAGCAGCAGGTTTATTTTTTCTGGGTTCACCTGGCATGCTCGAAGAGGCCTTCGGCTGAGATAAGAAGACCTCAGTTCTGGTTCTTTCTCCACTCTTCCTGGCTGTGTGACTCAGCAATTTATTTTTACCTCTGTGAGCTACCCCTGTAAAACGAACAGTTAGATTAGATGATACAGAGTAAGGGTCAGCCTCTGAATCCAGCCCTGAAATACAGATACTGGTTCACCCTCTACATTTCCACTTCTTCACCCTCATTGTCAGACACCCCTGGGTCAGTTTCTCTCTCTTACTTACTGTAGCCTCCTGGAGCTAGGTCACCCTCACAAGTTAAAAGTGAACTGTCTTTCAGACTAACAAGCACTGGCTGCAAGTTTGAGTAGTCTGAGTGACACCTCAATCTCTCTCTCTCTCTCTCTCTCTCTCTCTCTCTCTCTCTCTCTCTCATTCTCTTCTCTCTCTTCTCCCCTTTCCCTCTTCCCCTCTCTTCTCTCTCCCCATCCCCTCTCTCTCTATTCAAAGCATCTATTCTAATAGAACAAAAGGTAACTAAATAAATGATCAGCATCATTTTAGATTACAAGTAATACAGATTAGCAGAAAGCTGTGCAATTAGCACATGTGAAGACCGTCAGTTGTACTTGTGAGTACTCATCTGGGAGGCGGGGTTGGTCCATGGTTGTTTGAGCAAAGGGTCTGAGTTGCAGCTTCAGACCTCCAGCTGTTTTCACCACCCAATCAGATACTCTGGTTTGCTTCAGCTGAGAGAGACGTACCTCGGATTTTATACCCTGTGATTTTGCAGCAAATTCATTTGTTCATAAAACCAGATAAGCACCTTTCCCTCCTGGTGCCCAGAGAATCCTCTGTCTGATGCTGTTTCCAATACACAAGTTTGGGAGCACAAAAACATTCACGATTAGAAGAAGCACGAGCATAAGTATATCTAATTGCCTCATCACTTGCCATGGCACATTGTATTAAACTTTGGCAATATTTAATTAGGCTACCAAAAATTAACATTGAGTCAGAGACTAAGCCATTGTAAGGAAGAGGCACAATATGTCCAGTTACAATTTCAAAAGGAGATAACGGGTGAGTCCCAAAAGGAGTGGATCATAGATTCATCAGCACCCAAGGCCATGGTAGATTTCTTTCTTTTTTCAAAGAGAACACTTGTGAAGTCTTAAACGGTACAAAGACAACTACAGAGACATGTCTGGGTGAGGGAGACCATTAGCCTGTGGTCATAAGGGGCTCAAGAGCATGGGAGGTCAAAGAAAAATGCCACAGAAAAACCTGGTTGGTGGGCACCCTTAC